CACCATTCATATTTTATTGACTGGAGCAATATGTGCTGCATCAAAATGCTGCAAGATTGCGATGCATGTATTTATTATGCATGTTTGTTGGGTATATCTTAGGTAAAAACCGCTCTAGCGGCAAACCTAGAAATATAAAAATAATTTCCAGTGATTAACGGTTTCATAAATATGGCCTGTGACCTTTATTAATAGGACACCCTGTACAAATAAGTTCGACAAAAATGGCATGCTGCTTTTTAACAGACACGCTCATTATTAATGGTTGTACGACGACATCTTGTATTCTTATTCGATTGGTGTTCAACGAATGCACATGTGTAGGCTTGGTTCTAACTTTGACATCTCATGCGCAGCACCATAAGTGGGGATATATACAGGGGCAGGCGAAATAGCATACAGGGTGTGCTAAGGATAATTTCAAATATATAACTAAAGAAACGAATTCTAAATTGAGGACGCAACAGTAGGTAAACCTTATCAACTTTGTTCCTGTAAAGTTGGCATAAAACTGGAAACGTAAAATAAAGCAAAAAACAAGAAGCAAAGGGCAATAGTTATATACGTCATAAGGTTGTAATAGTGCGTAAGTATTACAGGTGAGTAGAAAAATTGCGCACGAGTCAGCAAAGCAGCAGATTGCGGTAATTCTACGAACCTGTAATACGCAAAGTACAACCGAATTACGTAAAATACTTTTTCTACGACCCCCCGTAAATTTCGACATGAAAATAAGGCAAAATCCAAAACGACATCTGTTGACAGTTTCGGCATTTGTAACTATAATAATTATCACTTCCAAACGTACATGATCTATCTATTCTAATCTTTTTTATTACGCACGGGTGAAGGTATACTACCTATATCGTGCTTCTAAATAATACGTTATGACCTTATTTTCAGGGAGGTCGTAGAAAACCCTTAACCATATATGTTATAATATGTATGATCTAAGAGAAAACGTAAATAACGTAAAGCGTATAAACTGTCACAACATTAGTAGGGTATGCACGAAATCTACCGCGTCGTTTCGGAGGCTTTCTATTGGCCAGTTTGAATTATTTCAAAATTACTTCGCATCAGAGTTGGACTGGGTCACTGGGTCACCTGGGTCACTAAATTAAACTGGGTCGCTGGGTCACGTCATACTCTTTCCAGTTAGACCCAGTGACCCAGTTTGACCCATTGACCCAGTTTGACCCAGTGACCCAACTTGACCCAGTTTGAACCAGTGACCCAGTTTGACCCAGTGACCCAGTTTGACCCAGTGACCCAGTTTGACCCAGCGACCCAATTTCACCCGGGGACCCAATTCGACCCAGTCACCTAGTTTGATCGAATAACGCAGTTAAGTCAGTGCCCTCGGTTCAAGTGTACAGATTATGAAATAAATGAAATGCTGGTTTGTTGAAAATTCCATGTCCCAAATTGTATTAGAATACTGTTATTTCTTTGCTTCAAGGCTTACCAGTTTGCTTACAGGTGTTCATTCACATTTAATTTTTTTCTACTAGTTAGCTTAATCCAAATAAACCTTTTCTCTAAATACTTTCATTGACTACTTGACTACAAACTGTAAACAAATGCATTTGATTTTTTTAGGTATTAGTTCTCTTGAATGACATTGGGCTACGTGCTTGTTGCCGAATATTATTGAGGAAGTTTTTTTTTAAATTAAAAGTTACTTGAAATTGTTTTAGATGATACCTAACAATAATTTAATTACTGGGCCACCGAGTCAAGACGGGTCACTGAGTAAAGCTGGGTCAAGATGAGTCACTGGGTCAAGCTGGGTCACCGGGTCAAGCTGGGTCACCGGGTCAAGCTGGGTCACCGGGTCAAGCTGGGTCACTGGGTCAAGCTGGGTCACCGGGTCAAACTGGGTCACCGGGTCAAGCTGGGTCAAGCTGGGTCACTGGGTCAGTAAACTAACTGGGTCACCGGGTCACTGGGTCACTCTATGCTTGACCCAGTCCAACTCTGCTTCGCATATCTATATTCTGAGCTTGGTGGCACTGTACACTGTACGGTACACCTCGAGTAAAAGTAAAACTAATGCTAAATCCTCGGCTAAATGGTACTCTAATGAAAGGTCTCAACGGAAGGAATTAATTTCTACCAACCCGAGCCCTGCTCTTCGACTTCTTATCGTGATCGGGTATATTCTTATACCTCAAGAACGGCTTGTCGGAAGAGGGTACTCACAAAGGGCGATTGAGACGTCTGCAAGAAATCTATCCATTGGTGATGTCAAAACAAAAGCTATTTCGGTTAAAAAATACGCTTTATCTCGCGTTATCTGCACAACTGCACAATTTATACTTGTTTAAAATTGATTTCCTACTTCAATTACAAATTCTATCTAACACAAGTTATTTAACAGGCGGCTAGTCTCCAATGAAATTCTACTACCCTTACTTTAAGAAAAAAGAAAGTACTTACATCTCTCACATTTGTGTATGACGAGTATTGGAAACTTAAATTCTATATGGCCACGTTTCCTTTTACCTCCTAAGTATTTAAAACAATGAACAATAAAAAAATATGACAATTAAAAAAAAATACTACACACCTTATATCTAACCAAAATTGAACTCGTTTGAAGGAATATTCTCGTACTGAATCTTTTAACTTTTTTCCACTCTCAAATCTTTTTAGAAGTTAAATGGAAAAAGTTCGTATTGACCAATTTGGAAACAATTAAAGTAATTCATCAGATTTTAGAATTATTAACGAGCTCCTAAGCGAGTTCATGATTTCAGATTTTCTGTCCGTCCGTCCGTCTGTGTACATGATAACTTGCGAACGGTTTCGAATTTTCCAATTCTGTTTTCAGTAATATGTAGACAATGGTCAAGGGACTAACTGATTCAATTATGGTCATTTGGACTTTCTGTCCGTCCGTCTGGGTACATGTACTTCATACGCTTGTGTATATGATAACTCACGAAATATTTCGAATTTCACATTCTGTTTTCAGTATTATGTTTATCATCACCAAAGGAAGAACTGATTAAATTTTCAGTGTCCCAGGTGCTCGTTTGCTATATTTGTTTACAAATTTGTTTACATATACATTGTAATTTGTTTAATTGATGTCGAGATTGATGTATACTGGAATTTTACTGTGGTGTATTGGTCACAGTAGCAGTGATAAAATTACTCTCTTCAGCAAATTCATGTTAGATTGTTACCAAAAAGGTTACATTTTTGACGACTTCTGAGGGTTTTATACTAATTCTTAAATTACAAGCGTTCTGTGAAAGTAAGTAAAATCTAGCGTAGATTGTGCCGGTTGTGTCCCGTAATTATTATCCAAATCAAAATAGAATTAAGATCCGGTTGCTTATTAAATCCATGTGTGATTGTGTAACTTGAATATAGGATTAAAAGTTAAAATAAATCATATTATTTCTAGCTTTTTGTTGTGCAAGGTAAAGTTTGTATTAATCGGAAAAAATTGGTATAAAAATATTCGAGGTTATTTTAAACGTGCCGACTTTGTAACATCACAATAGTCTTGTGAATTCCGTTTCATAATAAAGTTATTATTATAGAATTGGCTCTTTATTTCAAATTACACAATTATTTTACTTGAAATTGACAGGTACATCTAGCGTTCACTATAGTCAATTGTATTTAAGTAAGTATATGTACCTGACAAGACTACCACAATGCAAGTTCACTTTTGCCAACACTCATTTCCAGTTTGGCAGTGTGGGTTTATTTTTACCCCTTTTGTTTCAAATTTGCGCGAACGAAGTGCTATTAATCATGTGAAGCTTTTACTTCTTCGCCACCAGTATGATTTGCACTAATGGTGTGTGTGTGCTTCCCGAGTGAAGCACTACTCGACTGTATATTTAGGTCGATTAGTAAGCGAAAGAAATAGCAAATTTTTTATGTAAATAGTCCAAGTAACTACTGGAGGTTTGCCGAACTGCTTGTATTTCAGTCGTTTTCTGCGCTCGTAGGTAGCGACATTAAAATTGATTTAATTGCCGGTATTAAAATATATTACACTTACTTGCGTGCGACCTTGTTTTGCTGCATTACGAATGTTAATTAATTACATTTTGAGTCGCGTTCGCTTTATACCTACGTTTTTACCCCACCGGTATATACCGCCGCAAACATGAATCACGTGTACTGAACAATTTTAGTGAGTTTAAATGATAATAAGAGACCTTAACATGGTGTGTGGAATGAAGCGCAAAGAAACCAAGTTATGGGAATACACTGTAAGTCATTGCTTCCGATTGGCATTATTTTCAATTGTATCCAGTTTCCAATTCCAATCCGTTGAAATCTGTAGGTACTAGGGAAACCATTCATTTTTCCTTCCGCCTGAATTCTTGCCAAATGCGTGAGAAATTAGAACGCTTTATTTTTAAAATTTTGAATATCATTTCTATTGAAAATATAATTGGGCTACCGTTTCCGTTTCAGTTCCGATCAGACCTCACGGTTCCACTCAGTGTTTATTTGCCTACTATTTTTGAACTTAATTTAATTTTAACCCGCTATAAATATATTCTTATGGAAACATCCTGAACATCTTACAGACCTACCGTGATTCAACCATTTTACTTCATATATTGTTTATTTCAGACTTGTTACGTCAAATGTATTAATACTGAATTATTTTTAGCATACTTCTCTTGACACTAAAACGAGAACCCAAAATAGCTACACATTATATTTAAAGATGCACTACTATCATTAGGTAAAGTTATGCGATCATTTACATATAAACATCAGAGTTTTCCTGTTGAGGTTTTCAAACTCGAATTCCGATGTGAAAATTTAACCGAGCTTGTATTTGTGTAATTCGTTCCAAATTGAACTACATTTCCTGCCGCAAAGCTTTTTTTAAACGCTTAATGTAATCGTATCTTGTGGAAACATCAACATTTTTTTATTTCTAGTTTTTTGTGTTGTTCACATAGAATAGAAATTATTGAAGAGCGGCGTTTGTTGCCGGATATTTTGATGGCAATTGTCTTCAATCGGAATTATGAAACGGACCATCCTCTTAATAACAATGAAAGTTTCATATCTTTTTTTATTACCCCACAATATTGGTTATTCTTATGTACACAACAATTTGTCTCACTTTTTTGTCCATAAATTTGGAATATTGCCATATATTTTACTACGACAGACGAATGACCTATAAAATAAAAAGGAAACATTCTTAATATTGAGGTTTATGTTTCAACCTTTTATAGCGGTTGTGAAAGTGCTTCGCGTTTGATGAGATTTTAGTTTGACATTATCGAAACGAATCTGTTGAGCCCCATATTGTTTCTTTACGGTTGTACTTAGCTCCTGTACTGATTTTGACGTCCGACGATGTCTGAAACTAAGAAAATAAAATTTGCTCATTTTTTACCGTTAATTACCTACCTTATACCTTAAATCTACAAGCTTGTCACGTTTGTTCTTAAATTTGAAGTTCCCGTGAGCAATTTTTATGATTCTCGACGAAGTAATTAAATTCCTTTGCCCTAGCTATGACAAAATTGGCTGATCTACACTCCAACAGTTTGATACGAATATACAGAGAATGAACGGTTGTGCGGTATACTAAAAGCTCTTTAACTTTTTTATAGATGGTATAAATTATTGTGTCAGTACGCATATGTGGAAAATTATATTCCCCGTTCTTGTAACGTAGCCCGGTCTCGAAATGGCACCAGTACGGAATATTTAGTTGACAAAAATCTGAATGATGTGAATTTCTGGGTAGGTACATTATTTTGTTACATAAAGGTTGCATGCATGTAATTGACCAACGGTAGTTATACAATGTCATTGTCACTGAAAAGCTCCGCTATTTTAAATTATGTTAGTTACGCAGAACGTCCTGACCCATGATTACTTTAATAAAATGTTGTTTTATTAAGAGCCAAAGTATCACTTTTGTGACGTACGTGTGTAGATTTGATCCTCGATTTGATCATTTGTTTGTTCGAGGTTACAGGTGCCTCCCAAAAGTCCCTTTTAATCCTTTAAGGCTCCTCTGTAGTAAATGGCCATTGCAATTCTTATAGCAGGTGTTAGACCATTATCATTACATCCCACGGACTTACTTTTTATTTATTGGGAATTACCTTTTTTGTCATAATTTCACAAACTTTATCAAATAGTTTTTGTCAAAGAGCAAATCGCAGTAGATATCCAGTGTACACAGCCTACTTATTAGTTTTATTGAGTCGCTATGTATACAAGTACATGATGATATACCTGGACATGGTGTAAAAATTAAGTAAACAGAAAAAACTTTTGCTTTTCAAATAAACGGAAGATCCAAAATGTTTCGTTAGCCCTAAAAGTACAAAAATTCGCGTTTCTTGTTCAATCTTTCTTTTCCCCAGCAACCACAACGCATATTTAAGAGGGTAGAATTCGCAGATTAGGATAGGTTTTTTCGAGGGTTTTTTCGTATGCTCTTGCTGATTAAAAAAAATGATCAAGTGCGCAATAAAAAATTCCGTCTAAAAATCATGAAAATAACGAGATCAACGTAATTTTTGAAAATTAAAAAAAAACCTTTTGTTTTGGAGTAACTTTGGAGTAGCTTCCACACGAAATATTTTAGATTTCGGTTTATTTGGAAAAAAAATGCTAGTTTTAATCCCTGCTTCCATTCACTTTTTTTAAGCAACTACGATCAAATTGTTGCACCTTGTATAGTTAATATACCGGCGGAGGATGTGTCGGTGTTGGCCGATCCCTATAAAACCAAGTTTATTCTCATATTTCAAAAATAAAACAAACTAAAATGCGTGAATTCCATATAGGCTGTTTCACGCAAATAGTTACCTAAAAGTATTCAGGCTCGTATTTAGGCTCTCATTGACAATTTAAATCTGACAATTTGCATACCAACAGTTCTGCATGATCTACCGAAAGAAAATATTATCATGATCGTTTCACTTCTAGTTTTACTGTTGTGGATAGCAATTTTCTTTAATTGTAAATAGAACACTCTGTATTTTACTGCATTTTCGAAATCTACATGAAAAGGTACGTCGTTTGATATCAACATTTCCATCGATGTCCAAATACCCAGCATAAAAGGTTTCCAAGATGTTCAAGATTTTTCAAAATGTTTGACGTTCGATTGCTTTTCTTTTGAGCCCTGAACCGTCGTCTGTACCTATGACTCCTTTGACTTGAATTTTAAAAAGTCTTCTGAAATCAACAATATTGATTTTTGAAGGACTCCATAAATGTTTGAGTGATTGCTTATTGGAAAAATGAAGTGAATTGATACTGAAACAACAGTTTTTATTATTTTCGGATCTCTCCGGAAAACTCCACCAGCTGAAATAAATAACAAAAAATAAAAGAAATAAATAAATAAATAAAAATAAAATAAAAAAACAAATAAAAAATAAAGCAATAAAAAAACAAATTAAAAAAAAAACAAATAAAAAAATTTAAAAAATAAATAACAAAAACTGTTTGAGTCTCAATTCAGTTCATTTTTCCAATAAGCAATCACTCAAACATTTATGAAGTCCTTCATCAACAAAGTTTCAAACTCGGATCTCTCCGGAAAACTTCACCAGATTAAATCAAAAATAATAAAAACAACAATATTGGCTTGAAGCTATATTAGAATTTTTTTCAACATTTGAAAGTGTGGAAAAAGAAAGCATGTTTTATTTAAAAAAGTCAACTTTTTAAGGTTTAACGTTATTAAAATTGCCCATTAGTTTTAAAACCCCTGTAGCAGGGCAATCAAAATTAATATTAACTGGTAGCATCAAGTCAGTTTGTTGATTTTGGAAGACGTTTTGGCATTTAAGTCAACGGAGACAGAAAAGCAGTCACGCGTCATTTTCAAAAATCATTGATACTGGTATGAAACGACGTACATTTTCAAAGATACACTAAAATACAGGGTGTCCTATTTAAAATAAGAATGTTGCTATCCACCATCCGGTATAATTGGAAGTGAAACGATCATAACAATATTTTCTTTTGATAGATCATTGTAAAAATTGATCTCGAAATTGATTATCGTGTAGCCTATTAATGGCGTTAAAGATGTTGGTTGCAGCTAACGTAAGTAAATAAATAAATAAACTATATTGGTATGCAAATTTTCAGATTTAAATTATCAATAAGTCCAAATATTTTTAGGTAACGGTTTGCGTGAAACAGCACATTTTGCAAAAGTAATGGTATCTTTCACATGATACTTTATATGGAAAACTGTTTATAAGTAGAACTACCTACTTTCCAAGAAACGTGATTTGCGTTTGAACCGAATGAAAAGCGTTTGCCAGAAGCAAAAAGGCGTGACCCTACGGGGTCATTGGATTTTACCCATTTTCAATAGGCTTATTCCAAGTGGCATATGGATAAACTGCAAAGATTGAACTAAATAGGTTCAAGCGTTTGGCAGAGACAGATGGATTTGGCCCATTTTCAATAGGCTTATTACCTGTGCCATATTACGCAACTGTGCAAAGTTTGAACCAAATCGGTCCAAGCGTTTGATAGTCGACTCCCCTATAAAGCTTGCATCGCTTTGCCATGCCGCTTAATAATTAAAATAACCTAATCCTCATTTGACATTAAATAAACTGCGCCAATGACAACGAGCGACAAGATCACTTGCGCTTGACATATTGACCAAAATTTAATCAGTCCCTTGACCGGTCGCGAGTTTTTGTCGCTCATTAATAAATAAACCCCTAAAGCGGATCTAAAAAAGCGGCGCAGAGCACCTCGGTTTGACTCTACGGGGTCATTGGATTTGACCCATTTTCAATAAGCTTGTTACATGGGGCATGTTATGTAGGTCAACTTTGCAAAGTTTGAACCAAATCGGTCCAGGCGTTATAATAGGCAGTTATCGTGTTCACGGACGGACAGACGGACGGATCGACTCTCCTTACATCGCTTTGCTCAGCCGCTTAATAATCAATCAAGTGACTGCTTCTATAGCAAACGGAGATTATCATTTAAAAAAAATTCGTATCGAGTTGGTTGACTGCTAGGAAATTTCTACGTGATAGATTGCGTTCCTAGAGACAGAGTCACATAAGTTCCAAGAATTCGTACATCCAGAGTCTACCAGATTGCCCTATTTCCTCGAGAGCTTACAAAGATTCCACAAAAGATGTCTTCGTTTTTTACGATGAATTTCCATCTGAACACGCATAGAGTGTTGTGAAATTGCCCATAAAAAGATTTCTATGAAGTTACTTTTAATTGTCCCCCGGCGCCAATTCACGAATGAAGTATGTATACCTAAATCCAATAAATCACTAAAAGGGCTAATCCACACATGATTTATTTACACTTCTGTCCCATTTGAATGTAATCCAAACAAATTTCACTTCGTATGAAGTAATATTTCAAGTCTGTTTTTTTTATTTGCAGGTAAACGGTGACGATGAGTGGGAATACGAGGAGATCATTCTCGAAAGAGGTGGCGCAGGATTAGGCTTCAGTATTGCAGGAGGCACCGACAATCCCCATATTGGAGATGACACTGCCATTTACATTACTAAGCTCATTCCTGGTGGCGCAGCTTCAACGGATGGCAGACTTAAAGTTAACGATGCAATCCTCCAAGTTAACGATACCGCCGTAGTAAATGTTCCACATGCCGTCGCCGTTGATGCGCTCAAAAAGGCCGGAAACACCGTCAAATTGGTTGGTATTTTTAGCTTTCTCTTGTCACTTTAGGGGCGTTTATTTACAAATTTTCCACTGCTACCTTTTGCCTTCCTTTACTTTCAGTTTATGTATGATTGTAGTGAATCCATTAACGTGATTTTAAAATACTTTAGTAGATCGTATATGGCTTCCGACATAACCTTTTCTTTCGCGCAAGTTGTGATTTATACAATTTCCCATGCTGCTTGCATGCTATTAATGTGGCGTGCTGGTTGAAATATACCACAGTTCGCTTTGATATGTGCATTGTCGCAGTGAGCTGCATTTAAGAAATGAAAAATCGCGTTCTGGGGGCAGTGCAAGTGATGTTTTTATAATGCCCTTCTTTTATTTACGCGAACTCTCCAAATACATTCTAACGCATAAAATGTATGATGAATGTGCACATTTGAATGGCGTTGTTTTATTTAAACCTTCAAATTTTAATGTATATCCGCCGGTTTCATGTAGCCCACTGATTTATTGCTTTTTTTAAATTTTCAGCAAGTTCGAAGGAGGCGGCAGCCACGGCATATGAAGTTGTTAGAAATTATGTTGATTAAGGGAAATAAAGGCCTAGGATTTAGTATTGCGGGTGGAATTGGTAACCAACATATACCTGGCGATAATGGTATTTATGTTACCAAAGTGATGGAAGGTGGTGCAGCTCAAGTAGACGGTAGATTACTCGTCGGTGATAAACTCGTCGCTGTTAGGGACCCAGGAGTAAGTAGCAAATGTATATCATTTTTTATTATTTTTCTATAATTTCCATAAAAAGACGCATTTTTATTGATAATTACAAACTGTAAACTAAGACATCTTAGTATCCATGATAACTTTTTATTTTTTTATTATACCATGATGATAACGAATTTTTTGTGCGATGAGTCATACACAGCTTAGTTTGAATTAAGGTATACCTATACGTTTATTACAATGATAGACATAGATTATCTGTGGACTTCGTGTTGACTTAAACAATTTGAATCGTAGGTTAGTTAGATTTTATGAATTTGTCCACATACAGTTTAGCAGGGAATGGGTGTATAATGTAAAAATCGAAACGGTACACGCATGAATTCAAACTCCATAATGACCACAATTTAGCAATTAAACCTGAATAAAGTGTTTCGTTACCCAAAGCTTTGCGTGCGAAAGTTTGTGTATGTTTGAAAAGGCAAATACATGAAATGGTCATATATAACTTATGCTAATTTTAATGATTCAAATAATTCGATAAACTACTAATATCAGGTCAATTCCTTACTCTAAAAGTCTAAAGTAAACGAAATATAGCTTGTAGAATGCTTTTAAACTAGTTGTAGTGTTTCACAACGATAGTTTTCTTGTCTTGCTGGACCATTTCACAAAAAATCCAAACTCGAACCGGAACTTGAAGTAAATGTAAGACTCTTGAAACTTCGAACCCATTCCGACACTTCATTCTAGAAATTTACGCCCTTAAAGCTGTGAAATTTTTTCAACAAAGTTTCTGATCTCAAACAAATTTGGTATTTGAATGTTTTTTTAGCCTACAAGTAATGAATCTAAGAATAGTTCTTGAAACACAAACTTCTTGTAGGAATCACCTAATTTTTATGACCTATTTCGTCGTAACAATTTGAAACTTTGATATTTTTTTCATTCCCTTGCCCAGAATTGCGATAGCAATATTTAATTTTCAAACACTAAATGATCCAATTTCGTCCAGATCAGAATTTCCTCTCCTACTCTAGACTTTTCAAGTGATCATGTTTAACTGCACAATTTGTAGCTCTTTGTGAATTGTTGAAACATCCTAAAAAGAGATTGTCAATTCCAAGTTTTCTGTATTCGATTCGAGATCTTTTGACGAGGTTGAATATATGTTATAGATTGATGGGTTTGGTTTTGATAATGTCCTTGATTACCATTTGATAATTAATTTATTTTATTGATGTCCGAGGCACGAGTGTTGCGGGTATTTGAAAGTTTTTGGGTATCTAAAAATGATGCTTCGATAGCTAAAGCTTTTGATGCTATTCTGTGAGCTATTTTGTCAAATTCTTGTTCTTGCAATTGTTCACCTATTGTATGATCTCGGAGTCCCCTAATAAATTGCCCACGTAAAACATTAAACAACCGAAAAGCGATATTTTGGTTAAGAACGTTAAGTTCATCTGGAAATAAGTGCGTGTAATGTTTTTTACAAGTTTAACTCATTTAAATCCAGTCTTGCGATAAGGAGTTCGTTTTCGCTCCGTGAAAGCTAATTAATTTGAAGATAAGCCGGTTAGTTTATGGACGACGCCCGGTAATTTGATAAAGAACTAGAAGCGGAAAGAAAGAAAGGGAAGATTGTTTTTTAAATAGGAGATGAAGACATTAAACGTTCCTTGTTTGGTTGATTTTTGAGTGAAAGACAGTCAGTCTTAGTGACTGTAAAGTTTTTGTAGAACAAATTCCAGTGATTTTAATTCGTTATTGTAAAGGTGAATGTTCGAATTAAGCTATTAAAAAATATCGCAGACATGACCGGATGTTAGGATTATTAACTCTTTGGTAATTAGAATGTCCTTTTAAATTTAATTTCGTTTTCAATCGATCGCTTGTGCGCGGTATATTGTTTTTTTTACAATATTAGTGATTGATTTTTGTCGAAAGAAATTTGTGTTATTTGTAAATGATCAGCTGTGTGTTTAATCGAAACCAAAGTACGACCTAGGATATGAGTTCCAAAGACATCGTTCTATTCGTACCCAGGATTATGTTATTGGGAAGCGCTTAAGGCTGTTGAGATAAAACTAGATTTTCGTAGCCGATGTGCCTTGAAAATTTTATAGCCAAAATTTTTATATGAAAAATGGTGGTAGTTTTTTTCTGTTTTTTAAGCTAGCTGGACGGGTATCAATGTGGGTGGTTTAGTGGCCGTTATAGAAAGGACGACTACAATAAAAACTGCACCCACTTTTGTTAACTATCGTATATGTGCACTTATAACTTATAAGAGTACTGAAAAAATATAAATAAATTCCTTTAACCATTGTTAAACGTTAAAAACGTTACAATCGGTTACGTTCATTATAACACGTTTTTCCCTGGCTTTTTTGCCTAACCAAATGATGTATAAGACGTACGCAATGCAATTTTGTAGACGTCAAGCGCTCTTGAAATTAAAAATACGGCGTTATTCAGTGTTTAATTGCAAAGCATTTTTCTCTACGTAATTTATTCACTCGAGGTTTAATTCGTGCCATCAACAACTTTAAGAGTATGCCAACTCGCAACTTGTGCACTATTACCAACTAATTTTTTTAATTATCACATTTTCCACGTGTAATTAACTTTTGTGTTTCTCGCGTTTCTTCGTGTAACTTAAATGTAACGCGAAAATTACAACGTCTATCATACAAATTGATTAGATTCTTACCATAAATAAGCATTAAAATAAGTTTTGGCTTGTTTCAGGGAGCGGAAGTAAATTTAGAAAACGTAACACACGAAGATGCCGTAGCAACGTTAAAAGCGACACAGGAACGTGTAATCCTTGTTGTCGCTAAACCAGATAGTGCCTTCAGTGCCCCTCCTTCTGAAAGCTCGCATTCACCCCAACTGCGTAAGTTGAATTTTTTGTTTGTATGTGTTTCTGTACTTCCATACTTTACACGTTAGCTACCTCCATAGGTCCGATCTTTACAAGAAAATGTGCACATTCTGCGTGAACCTATAACTGTACTGCAAACGAAATGTTTCAGCACCTTCTGTCAAAGTGTTATAAGCTGTATGGCAGTTAAAATAAAATTTCTTAAAATACGCCAGTTTAACATGATTGCATATCAAGCCGATCAAGCGTGAAAGTATGAAAGTATTGCTTGCAGTCTGGGAGATTTTAAATCTATCAAAACCATTTCGCATTTATTATATATTTCATGCAAAATTGCAAACCGCACATTGGCCGTTTTCTGATGTTTGAATTTTGATTGGTTTGAAAAGGTGAAATTTTAAAATCCACCAAACAAAATTTATTAAATTGCCCGGGCTTAGAATCTGATAGTTTACTATGCACACAATTATTATTAATAATAGGTAATATATAGTGCATGTATCGACAATATGTTCTGTAACATGTTTATGCTACTATCCTGGACAAGTTTTTCTATTTTGCTTTTCGTTATTTTAATGCTCTACAATCTCTTTCAGTATTTCCTTTGAGAATGTGAATGTTTTTTCCAAAGCCCTTTACCACTTTCATCTTACAATTGCTTTACTATTCAAATAAAGAATAATTCATTGTAAGTACGCATTTCTACCTTTACAATTGGGATGCCTCTTTCTAAGTGGCTTTCTGCAAGAACTATTTTATAAACAAAAGAATTGTTTTACTTGGATTTTACATTACATAAAATATTCTACTCAGTTAGGTTCGTTATACATATTATGAAAGTTGCGCATTTTCGGGGAAAATTCGATTGGTAAAAATAGTTACAATTTTTCAAAATAATCTCCTCCTGCATCTATACCTCGATCTATACACTTGCGCCGATGATTCTGCCTCGCAGACTGTAAGACGGGTGGGGGCTGCACAGTGGTCTTGTCCTGGGCCAGGTACGCGAAGGTCACGTGGCTGTGTGCATTGTTTTGGTGAAGCTTGAAGACGTCTATCTGACGCGCACGACCCGACGTTTCAGTGTCTTGGGGACCTCCAAGTAAAAGGCTGCGTTGACAGTTGACCTTGCGATGCAAACTCTAAATGAACGATTCCTCGGAGGTCAAGGAACACAATTTACATGGTTTTGACACGCGTCTTGCTTTTTTTTGGGTTTGGGAGCAGATTGTGTGTGCCACTCGGAGCTCTGTCTTTTGTATTCTGGATCGTATTCGTACGTCCAGGATTCAATTCCCGTTGCATTCTTCATAAGCCGCACACAAAACTTGATCACTTCTGGCGTTAACCATCTAAGCAGAGTTGCCCTTCAATAATTTTAAATTGAACGTTGGATCGAGTCAAGGATACTATATAATATAAGGATTGCTCGATCCCTATACTTGTAATGTTGCCCGAGTTTAAGTCATATGTGACGTCACCAACGGACCTGGCTGTCAGAATTGACAGTTATAATTTGTTAAGTTGTCAACGTTTTTGCATTAGCGTTATAACTGTGTATATGTGTTCCCTATATTGCAACAAAAATGCATGAACGCCGGCGTGCAGTATTGGACTGTAATAACAATTTGGGGTAGTATTCACATTTTACACTCAACTGGCGCTCATTTTAGCCAGTGTCAAGAAGAACGTCGAGAAATCGTTATTTTAAGATGGACAAAGTTGAAATAAACTGATTTAGCTGCAATTTCCATGGATGATGAAGAGTAAAAAAACCAAAAACGCAGGATGAAATGGGTTCACGATATTTTGAGTATGCGAAAAACCGAAGGAGAATTTGTAGACGATGAATTACAAGTGTTTCTAATATAAATACCTACCTATAACATCCATTTGGACGTATTAGACCCCTTCTTAGCAGACGTTTTTTGAAGCGGCTGGTAGCTTGACCCCTTCACATGGTGCGATTTGCAGCGCCACAAGTAGCACGAAGCGCTTTTCTGAAGCGCCTTCACGCAACAAAAGCGCACGTACCAAGAATGGGCGTCGTTTTTTAAAAAAATTGTGTCTGGTTTGAGGAGAGTTGATTTACTTGTGCCTTAGTAAAGAGCGTACATATTTTTGTACTGATATTTTGTATATAAAGCTAAGTTTGTTATTACTGATATGTGGGGGTTGTAGCTCGGGTTGTAGTTCGACCGTTGAAGGAAGGCGAAGCTCTATGAGACTAAACACTTCATATTGTGTGGTAAAAACCATTGTAGCACGGTGTGGCAAACTCCAAAATTATAACAGAAATTGTACAGAAGAGACTTATAAATTTCAGTTCTTACTCATCTGACATTTCCGCATAACCGTATCTTTTTTTTCGAAGAAAATTTCCACTCTGCGCATCGTGAGAAGGAGCTCTTAGAGTCTTACATAATATAAAATACAAATGACAGTGATGCACAAATCTAAAAATCAAAGCATGCAGTGCGTCTGGGTCCGCCAGTGACGTCACTACACGCAGCGAAAAAATTCAGTGATCGAGCAATCCTTATATTATATAGTATCCTTGGGATCGAGTGACACATCATTGGAAAGGGCTCCTAATTTCCTACTCGTATATGCTTTATTTTTTGAGCGAGTCGTTTGAGGAATACAAGGTGTCAAATGATAAATAATTCAAATGGATATTCAAGCTTTTACGTGAATGAACACGTTCATAAGAAATATTAGCTTCACAAAACAATTCTGAAGAACATAAACATTGAGAAATCAATCAGATGCACATTTTTGTTTTAGGTTTTAGCTCGGTTTTTAGGTAGTGATGATAAAATGCGGATGCGATCTTATTTCATTGAACCATGCATACTTATGTTACATAGATTGTTATTTACCTGAGCCCTACAGTCAAGTGTATCTTCCAAAATACCTAGTCGCTCGAATTTGTAAACTAAACCATAGGCGTGTAGGAAATTAAGATCCCTTTCGAATTATGTGTCACTCGGCCCAACGATCAATTTAAAATCAAAATCAGACTTTATGGGTAAAAGCCATGGAGTCAGCAGCTAATGATTAATAAAGATCAAAACCATCCATGATGATACAATGACACTTCAGGAATGGAGAATCCGTATAGCCCAACTTGCTCGAAAAATCAAAATTTCTCGGCTCATGCTCATCATAAAAATCTGGGACTAGTTTTAAAATTCATGCTAATTAAGCGCGCTTCCAACGATACCAAACCCATTTTGATAACGTTCGTGCACCACAATGAGTTAACTACGGGTATTTATGCTCACTCAACTGGCCGTGTCGAAATTTACAAATCGGTAGTCCAGTTAGCACCCACTGTTACTTGAAATTCTCATGTAAAGCGAGAGGTTTGCTCATCTATCGTACTACGGCAACCTTGCCCGTTTCTACCCTAGTTTTAAATTAGTATTGGAACTAAAATATTCTAATAATAACTCAACGGAACGGAAATCACAAAACATTTATTTTCCGTCGTCTTCCAAATGACGGGAGTTTGAGGAGGCTGCAGGAACATTTAAAATATTTACAAGAACAATTGGAAAACTGTACAATTGGCTACGGCATCTTCTTTTCCTTATCGGCGGCTAAAACGGCTCTGCAAGTTAAAGCACTTAACTTTACCTTCTATTCCCGACTCCTAAAAGATAATTAAATAGGTCCGGAAGTTACGGTTTTCATAATGAAGCGCCGGGTTCAATTCATCCATGTACCGGGTCAATACGTTAACATTTGTAACTTTCGTCAGACGCGCACGGTTTGTACACTCATCGCCGCACTTCCAAACAGGTACGTCTTTCAATGTTATCAGTTATCAATATTATCACCCCGCGAAAATGAAAATGTTTTTTTAACCACTTCGTCTTAATCTGCACCCCTTTTGACCTTTCCCTAATACCAATGGATCATGATACCTTCTCTAATGATCGTGACCGAAACTCGAGACAGCAGAAAAAATCCGAAAATCCCCGTTAATTTAGCGAAGCGCGTCCAGATATAAATGGCTCATGCTGTATTTACCGATTGCCCAGCAGTTTTTGAACGGACATACATACACCAGCAAACAAACAGAGCGATGACAAAAAGTTGCCTATGAAATCCCACTCGATATTGGGACACCCTATATATTTGTGATATGAGTAAACGCGACACTGATTTATAGTCTTTAATCACAAATATTGAAGCTTAATAATGTACAACCTAATGTGGTACAATTCTTATTATAGCACCAGAAGCGCCGCATGCCTATCCAGAATCGGTTCGTTCTTCTTCCCTCGCATTGCATACTCCAACGCCACGTGCCGTTAGCCATGAGGATATTTCTAGGTAAGTCAAATTTTCGTTTCACGTTTAGGTAAATAAAAGATACGGAACCCATCACCTACTGTGTTATATAAGTTGCCTACTATATCGATTCGAATGAATTTTAAATCCATAAGCTACATTCTGTAATTGTTGAATTAATTAACAATCAGTAGGAATAGGAATCGTTTTAGTTCAAAAGTGAAACTACTGAAAAATATTATTATTAAACACAGATGTTGAATTATATGAGTTGATATGTACAGTGTGTCCATATTTCGATTATTGATATCTCGGTTATTAGAAACACGATAGAAAGAAGGTTGTGAAAATCGCTAATTTCTCATTATTTAAACGTGTGCATTACACTTTTTAAGACAAATCTTTGGGTGTCAGCCACTCCCAAAAGAAAGTACCTACTCAATCCGTTTTGGGTTTTATGATATAGGCTGAAGCTATTCAAAACGGATTAAGAAGGCAATGGGGAACGGAGTGATGGTTCATTGAATAACTAATAAAATGAATCATCTTAAGCATTAAATAATTTAGATTTCGAATGTCATCATACCGAGATGATTACATTATATAGATTTATAATTGTCGATTTCAGTTAATTGCTACACAAAATAAAAGAGTTAAATCGATTTTACAATTTTAATTTGACGCAGTAAAGCAATGAAGCACCTATTGTACTTAATTGTAAAACATTTTACATAATGAATGAGTCAAATTCCATCGTTTCAACATAATTGTGTAACACTAAACACTTCGAACTGTAAACTACCAGGATTGTTCAATAGAAACGCGTTTAGAGCCTGTACAACATTTTTTATTCAACGATTTTAAAAGAAATCTCCATTAACATTAAGGCATGAATCCCACTGCTGTACTCATCTGTAAATTCCGTGCTGGTAAAATTCTTGCGGCTGTTTGCGGAAGCATTCCCTAACCACAGCGTCCCATTTGAACCTCCGTCCTTTTAATGGGCCAAAAACATGATAATCGCAAGGGGACAGGTAGGGACTGTAAGGCGGATGTTGTAAGGCTTCCCACTTCATACGACTAAGCAGTTCTTGAATCGCCTGGGCTACATGGGGTTGGGCATTATCATGCAGAAGAATTTAGTGGATTCTTTTCATTGTCGAAATTTATTGGACGACCACTGTCGTATTTAGAAGAAGAGGAACTTGCGTGCAGAACCAGCTAAATCCAGTTTCATTAAATTGTGCGGAAACGGCAAAAACTCTCACTGCAAGGCTTGTCAGGTATCCAAAAAATTCTGGCTTGTTTCCATATTTTATAGTAGTTATGTGTCCTAACTGTTATGTTCTTTTTCGTTTAAGTGTAATTTTTCTTAATTTTAATTCTTTTCGCCTCTGCGATACCCTTGACTTTTTTATAATGTTCTTCTAGAACCTTTATATTATATAGTTTCCAATCGTTATGCTTCAGTTGTTTAACAACATATTTTATATTCTGAAATATATTTAATTTTTTTCAGTTTCTTTTAAATAATTTTTAATCCGATCTTTATACCTATTTGCAAAACGGAATTTTGGTCCACACAGAAACTGCCAAATCATTTAACTTAATCGCTATATTTAATAGTAACAGTTACCTTTTATGCAATTTACTCGAATACCATTGTTTAAATACCTTTAAGCATCGAGAACAATTACCTATAAATAATAGGTAATTGAAACGCCATCAAGGCCAACACCAATAACAGCGCATTGGATAAAAAACACAAAATGCTCCCGGAAACAGAAACACCACATGAAGAGCAGGAAGTAAAAATAAAAAACATAAATAATTCAAAAAAAATTATTACAAATTAACAACCAAATAGTAAAAAAGATGAGCCATGAAAGAGTCTCAATCACAAGAACAAGTGACAAGCTAAACTTTAAGTACACGATTAATTTGATCGTGACCGTAATCCCTTAAGATTTGGTTCTGGTTAATCTCCTGAGGCAGGGAGGCATGCTCGTGCCAATTGCTTATAGGTAAATAATAATAAAGTGGTTCGGTGAGAGATTGGACTAGTTTCCAAATCCTAATGGACTATAATATTCTCATGATGCAGTAGTTTTATATAAATATGGAAATCTGTTTCCTTCACCTAAAAGAATATTGAAAAGATGAATACTTTACTCAAAAGCAATCGAATCCAGTTATATTGGTTAGCATGGCAGAAACTCTTTTCAGTTTATTTGAGAAAAATGATTCATTGTTTGTTTGTGCCCTTAAAAATTAAAGTTCCAGTGAATGTCCAAATTTGCAATTTTGACGATAAAACGTGACTGTCTGGTCCTTGACCATCCAACTGTGACTAATAAGAGCTTTCTTAATAACGTCTAGATTGCTTATATTATGTATAATCATGGCAATATATTTTGATCTTTACTTGCGTCGTCGGTCTTGATACGTTTGAGGCATCTCATGTGTAAAATCGTCTCTGACCAAGAGAAAGTATTCTATGACCTGCACTATGTTTAACTTCATTAAAATTCAAAAAATTAAATTCATTATTTCCCGACCTTCACAACAACGTATAAATTTTACACATTTTGTTCACACATGTAACCATGAAGCGACCGTGACAAATCTTTGTAATTACCTTGTAAGTTCTTCACTAAGAGCGCAATTTGGAATTATTATTAAGCTATCACCAGAGAAAAATGGCAGACTGTATATTTAATGTGGCTGCTTAGTTTGAGTATATGGAGTTGACGTTCCTAAAATTATTTAAATATAATTTTACTCACGTCTACATTACAGGCGGCGCGTAACATTAAATATTCACGATGCTACATTCCAAAGGAAATAAATTTTACTAAGATAGTTGCGTTTGTCATGTTGTTAGCTTTACATCATTTTACTACCACAAATTGCCACATTGAAGAAGTCAGGTTAGTGATTGTGTTGTTCTTTACCAATAATGTCATTTGTGATTATTTTTCATTGCTGTAAGTATGTAATATTTACCCTTTATTAGAAAGGACGGCAGTCATTTTAGCTTTTGCACTTCCGTAATGAAGGTCCAAATTCGGGAGTGTGCGTTTCGTATAACATTATTGCAGCATTTATTAATATTCCATTTAGGGTTGCTTTGCTAATTAAAATCTTTATGGCTCGATAAACAAGTAACGGTTCAATAATTGTGTAAACACGACAGGGATACTCAGTATTGAGTACAGAGGTTGAAACGAAGTGAGAGAGGCAGGGCAAAGCAATTTTTTTCCAATCTAAATATAAGTTGTATAATTGGTATCCGAAGTTGCATTTCATTATTTTTCCCTTTTCAAATTAAAATAGTAAAGTAAATTATGGTTATGTAGAAACGGATAGTACCTAACACTAACTTCAGACTAAAAAACCACATAAAGTAGTTTTTTGTGACTTTTCTCATTGTTTTGTGTCTGTTTCAATTTGAATACCTTTTACTGGTAAGATTTACTACCCTAAATCGCTTTGTGTTGGCTAGCATCATAAGAGGTTATTGTTACTAATTTTTCTTGACAAAATGCCGAATTAAACAAATAAATCATTTTCCTTCTTCATAAGTATTTTGTTATTCCTTCCGTTGGAAAAATTTTCTGAAAACAACCTCGTTTATTTTTCATTTTTCCTATTTAAAGGAGAAACCGCCTCCATTCATAAATTCCATATCGTCATTTCCCGGCGATACTCGAAACTTTGCTCCGTCGCCCGAATTGATAACCACATGCGTTCCTTATCTCGCACATTTTATTGTTATCACAGAACCAATTGACTTTTTCGATAAAATCTTTTTACTAAATACCCGGCCACATTAAACTTCTCGCATTATAATTAAGTTTCGATTACACGTTCCCTTATTTATCTGTTTTAATCAAGGAATAGAATTAAATTAATTAATTACTAACTAACTTAATAATAAATAACATTAAAATGACAATTGAACAACTTTTTTCCATTTCTGTGTCTATTTGAAATAAAATTCCCCAGATCCTATGAAGTAACTTAAACCAAACCAAAATTACGCATTTTTCTTTACTACAGGGTGGCTCGCTCTCATTTTCGGCATTATGTCAACCTAGAAAAATGACCGTTTAATCTTACGCGGTCTTCTGAAACTGATCCATGCCTTATTATTTCCTCCTCTTTACTTATTGCCTCATATACTGCACTTTTTCGGGGTTCATAATTGCCCATTTTTAGCGCATTTTTTTAAGAATTAAAAAAGATTATAAATAACTGCAGGGGGTTCAAAAACGAACATTAAATAGTGAATTCAAAAATCGTAACTAAGATTTTTTTAACGGACGCCCTCTATTTTTAAAAATTTGTCTTATGAAGCACAAAAATGTGCCAAATTCTTGACAGAACAGCTTCCTAGCTTAGCTCAAAAATCGCGCCTTTGGAAGAGTGTGTTAAAAAAAATATTTAGTGTAGGGAAAAAACGTTCCCTACGAAACTTTATAATTTTCCGAAGTAGAACAAGAATATTCAATAAAAAGTATAGCTTTCTATTTGAAAAAATTAATTTGCATTAAATGAGTATCATTGTTGATTTTATCAAGTGTTCCCAGGTTGAAGTTAAATCGGCCGCTGACAAAGCCCGCCTCCTCGAAATAAAGTTTCCTAGGAAGCCCTTGGTTGCAAATTAATACAGAAAACTTTGCATTTTATAACGTGAGGCATAAAGTCACTAGATATAGAAAGTACCGCAATCATCCGCCATTTTTGGGCAAATTTGCTGCCAACTTAAAAAAATTGACAAATAAATGTAATGTAGTTCTCCATTATTTTGGGTTCGTTGTAAATTCTTAGGATATAAAAGGAACCACAAATGTTTATTAAATTTCTAAAAGGCGATCGATTTCGGGTTTTCTATCTACCCATCATCAGGCTATGCTAAAATATCACATGAATTACAGTTGAACATAAAATTAAAGTTATTACCGTCATTTGAATTATATATAAAGCAGCAACATTGATTAAAATTGGATAAAAGTGTTAAAAATTACATTAATGAAGAC